AGATTCTGAGCATTGAGTTTTTGGTTATGCCACAATTACCTGGCCAAGTTTGTGCCATTAAGACCCTTATTGGCTGCGACAACCTACATCTTACCATTATACCTGTATGTTTTATAAACTGATTAAATATAATCTTGATTTGAAGCTTTCGTGACTGCAGAAATCCATACTCTTTGGTTCTTTCGGTAAAGTCACGTAGGTAGAAAAATAAAATAAAAAATAATATATTACAATTATATTATATTTTATTTTTTTACCTACGTGACTTTACCGAAAGAACCAAAGAGTATGATTAAATATAAATATTGTATTTTAAAATGTAAAAATCTCATGATGAAAGCTGTATAAAAGATGTATTAATATATTTCATTCGGCTACCGGTGATGGAGGTGATATAAAAAATAGATAACATTTACAAATTAGAAATGTGCTGAATAAATGAACGTACAAAAATGTTAATGAACAGGAAATTCAATGCATTGCTTGACACAATTGTACACGAACACGTGGGTTCGATTCTCAGCAACGGCGAGCATCAGTGGCGAGTGATGTCCGAACCAGTCGTGAGCTCAGCCTCCACCGACAACCGCGCTGACCTCATTCAGCAGCGGATCGACAGAGGGGCTGCAGGCTGTGTTACTATTGTACGCAAGAACACGGATTGCTTTTTGTTGTTGTTGTTGTAAACGAAGCTATTCGCGAAACATGTTCAAGGTGAACAATGGCAATTAACGCCGCAAATTTCGATGAAGCCATCCAGTTTCTTATCGGATGTCCACCGCCCGATGCGTACCATATGTGAGCGAGCCCTGGTTGGTGCAGCTCCGTCACTGCTCTTCATCATATTGCAGGCTGTTAAAACAAGAGGGGCCTTCCAGCCATGACCTTCCATGAACAAACTTCGGGGCTCAAGGAGGCTCGTAAAGAAGGCGTTTGCAGATGTTTATCTGCGCTACCCATTCCGCCCTTGACATTAATGACAACTTTAGCATTTTTGTTGTTTCGATTTAAAGCTTTCGTGACTGCAATGATTCATCTTCTTTGGTTCTTTCGCTGTGAGAATATTGTGTTATTTTATTTTATCAATTTATTATTTTATTCTCATTCTACGTGACTTTACCGAAAGAACCAAAGAAGATTTTTGTTGTTGTTGCATAGAGTGCAACCGCTATATAGTTTCTCCCATTGAAGAATAACAATGTGTATACGTGTATACTTGCGAACATGTGGGTGAGACGTTGTCCAAGGTTAAAGCTTGTTAAGGAATTATATATAGAGTTGGGATGTCTAAAGTAAGTGATATTTGGCAGGGCACATTGCTGGGAATGGACAATGGGGCCACTGGTGAAGTATAATAACGGAGTCGCAGCCAAGGAATGGAATGCGTCAAAGAGGATACCCACCGTGGGAGGTGGAGTGATGAAATCAATTTAATGAGCAGGTATGCTGGATGGATTGTTGCATGGCGGGATTGTGAGACGTGGCAACGGCGGCTTGGTGAGGCCTTCATCCAGCGGTGGATTGACGATGGCAGATGACGGTGATAATTAGCTGTTCGGTTATTTATCTAAGCAACGTGTTAACCTTGCTCATTGTTTGATTACTCAATTAGCGGACGATACGAAAGGCGTTTGCAAACGTCTCACTTTTGTTCCCACGTGTACCACTGGATGGGAGGTGATGGGTCATGTGACGCTGGGCGTGGCCTGTAGGGGGTTTCCCACCTTCGGGAAGCAACATGCCACCGATTTCAAACAGGCCCGGGTAACTGACCACAAAAGTAAAATAGTTGATTACAATATTTGATCAACGTGTCGACGAATAAACCCGGCTCGACAAATGTATGCTTGGGAGATGATAATGGCTTGGGGAGCCCTTCATCCAGCAGTGAATTGAGCATGACATCTGCTGATTGTGATCAATTGGCAATTAAGGCCAGAAGTCTATTTTGCAAATGATATCTGGGTTTAACGACAAATGCAAAACAAATTTACGTATTGGGCGTGCTCTCCAGAAAACGAAAAGGCACGAATGAAAAAAAAACCCGAATCAACTGGGCGATATGATTTTTTTTTGTGCCAAACTCAGAAGGTACAGAAAGGGGATGCCGGATGTGAGAAGCGCGCGCGCGTGCGCTACGTTGCCGGCACGTGCCGCCGTTGAACTCAACGAAATCGGCTCACCGGAGAGAGAGAGAGATCCCGTACGTGCCGTGGATTCGGCTACGAAAATTATCATCCGAGAATGCCTGGCTGACACGAGGTGGCGATTGAGGTGTCCACCTTGGTGAATTTTTTTAAAAAAATGGTTTTGTTTTAATCACGGGAGAGAGTTTTCTGAGATTCGGGGCACGAAGCGAGTTCAATAGGCCAGCATCAGTCATTCGGCACGCAAGCGTCCCGGGGTTAAAGGTGCTCCGTGCTGCTTTGCGGCCGCGGCAAGAGTGTTGCTGGATGCATTGACAGAGGTGAGGGCTCCATTCAACGTCTTGGAATGCCTCCGTGCTACGGGAGGTTATTTTGCAAATAATCAGTTATCACTCAACAAACAAAACGGCGCATGGGAGGGAGCTTTCATCCTCTGCTCACGTTTTTTGTTGTTGTTGCCAGCCACCCTGGCTTGCGCACAGTAGGGTTTCCCGTTCAATGGCTGCACTTACACATGTCGTGCAAAGGGGCTCACGTTGAAATGTTTACGTTCTAGAGAGGGCGTTTCTTGCATTTTTGCCGGTAAGAATCCTGCAGCTCACAGACCTGGTCCCGAACTGAAGATCAGGTGAGGAAGTTACAAGTGGGCCAAAAAAGGATGTAAAGAAGGATTTTTGTTACGTAGCAAGGGGAGGGGACGACATTAGGAGCAATAATTATAAATTGTTGATATGGTCATTATTATTCCAGATAGTAATGCGCCGCCACATTATTTGCTCGTTCTTGAAGGGAGAGAGGACGACTCAGAGGCACGAGGATCCACGGGACAAGCTGGGAGGCAGCCACTCTATTAGCGGACACCAACAATTGCCCAAGCTTTGCGGTCCTCTACGTATTGAGATGTTATCGGCTAATGAATGAGCCAGCGAGTGAAGGTTTTGAGATTTCAAACCAGGATAACGCGTAATTTACAAAGGTAAAAAAACAACGTAAATGGAATGTGATTGACCGACGGGTTATAATTAACAATGGAATTGAAGTTGGCGGAGGGGAGAAGAAATAAGAGGTAGACAGAACGTGAGATGACAGGACGAGATTTTTCCGAGTGGACTGGATGGTCGAGCTAAGAGATCGTAAGGGGCGGAAGACACGCTGCAGCAGCAGCAGCATGCCCAAATAATTCGTAGAGACATTTCAAATTCGCCCTCGTCGAGCCTCACCCCTTTCTGGATAAAGGCACGGGCCCTGCCAAAGGGCATACCCAGGACCATAACCAGAATGCGAACTTCAGAATTCAAAGCCACCCCTGAAGGTGGAAAAAGTCTCCTTAAAATCACCCGCCCACGAGTTGCACTCCATTGTAGCAGCACGGATGTTGGAAATGTGTTGCTGATCATGCCATTAGCGTAGGGTCTGTGCGTCCAAGCTGGAAATAGAGGATTTTTTTTTCCTAATGGGAGGTCAGGCACAGAAGACGTATTGCTCGCCGAAGCATGCGCGCATATCGTGTGTCTTCATAGAGTCTTGGCATATTTGAACCCGGTCACCGCAGCAAATCCCTCAGCGCATGTGAACTTGTAAGCAGAACAGAAGTTGCCCTGGACGCGGAACGGCTGAGCTAATGGGTCGAGTTTGAGTTATTTTGGCAGGAACGTAAATTAATGCGGTAAACATGCCTTACTCTCTCTCTGCATTCGATTTTTTCACGCTGGTTAAACTCTTGTCGGTTTAACCGTGCCTTCCGATTAGCCGCGGTTGGCTACGTACGGTGCGAAAGAAGTTCAAGGTACATGCATTTGTCGAATCGCTGCCCCGTGATTAATTAATGCACGCACACACGCGTACAAAGATATAGCCTACACAGACTGTTAGGGCAGATTGTGTCGGAGGGCCCTTGTTAAGGCTGACACGGTTCACGAGGTGGGTTTTCTGTGGCTACCAGCACGCACAGTCACCTTTGTCTCACCAGTGCTGATGTTCGCACACTGCTCCAGCCACTGCCTTGAGTCTGAGCTGACCCAAGAGAGGGACAGCAGCGGTTCAGATGTACCGCTGTTATCGCTTGTCAATGGTGAGCATACAGGACAAGGGGGTGGTGTTGTTAGAATAAACAATCTTGTTCAGCTGCTGCTTGCCACGCTTAGCTGTGTTGGGAACCGAATTCAGGTCGCCGGGTTAACAGCTCAGTGCGGGCGCCACTGTGCAACCACTCACTACCCACAAACACATATATGCCCCGTATAGCCAGTGGGACTGTTGGGACGAGCCATGTCAGTCAGCGACTATGCATTGCTGTGAAGCATCATGGGAAATAACACGAAGATTGACGTCCGTTCTAGGTATCCACAAATAAATGTAATGTTTGCTCGTCATCGGTGTGTCTCGTCAAAAGCCATCTGACAACCCAACAGCATTTAACAAGCCTGACTGCTGATGACACCCACTAGGTCGAAACCGGTCCAGGGTTTGCTCGCTTAAACTAATGCTGCCGGATGATATTGTCTGGAAAAAAAAATCCAAAAGGCTAACGTGTTTAAAGAAAACTACACGTATATATGTGTGGGTTTTTTTTTTACTTATACGCGCAGCCAGAGAACGGAGGTGTGTTTATGTAAGCCACATACGCACGGGTGTGCGGCCGAGATGTACAAGCGCCGCCACGCGCGTGGCCCAGCTTTCGTTCCGCCAGAATTAATATCTGGGCACTTTGTCATTTTCAGGCCGGAGAGCCGAGAGCGGCGGGAGCCCATTTGAAGTGTCTCTCAATAAGTCAGCGCAGCGTTAAAACAAACCGCCAGCGCGCGCGCGAGAAAAGCACTCGCTCGCACGTGCGCTGGTATCGCGGACACTTACATCGCTCTCGGCGGTCGCTCGCACGATGAGAAAGGACGCGACGCGAACGATCTTGCGGGGGTTTTGGGCGACGCTGTATGGGTGTCACGTGGGGCTCGCCTTCAAAGTCTCTTGTGATGGCCCCTGACGGTGAGCGGATTGCGCGTCGCGACGAGCAGGAGGGCTTCGTATTCGCTCTGCAGTGCGACGGGAGACACCAACTAGCGCAGGGAAGCCATGAGCGACGTTGACAGATTTGGCCAAACGTATGGAAACACCAGCTATATGGGCTCATTACAATAATAAGAATAATTTAGAGCTCTTTGTTAATTCATATATTGATAGAGGTCTCCTAATGCTGTTGTGGTTATGTGTCTTTTGTTTGACCATAATGCAGCAGACCTTGCCTGCACGGGTTCGTGAATACGACACTGTTTTTTTCTATCGAATCCTTACCATCTAATACATGTGCAATGGCATCCTTCGAAAACCCTGGCTGTCTCCTGCGATTACTTTTAAACAAATTCACGTCGAATTATTTACGCGGCCCTAAAAAAAAATGTGTCTGGATTGTATGACCATGCTTTATCGCCATGGGTCAGTGTGGGTTGTGGTGAATTCGGGGAGGTTGGGATGGTGAGTGGGGAGGGAGGGTGTGTGGCCCACGACCGGTTCAGATATCACTTGGCACTGATGTTCGCCATGGCTGGCACTCAACCTCAGGTCCCTGGGTTCAAACAGAGTGCGCTCCCCACTGCGCCTCTCCTCTAACCGTCTATCTTAAGCGGTGTTCCTCAATGCAAGGCACGCGGGCCACTGACGGCCCCTGGTGGCCTTTAGTGTGGCCCCTGAAGTGCTCCCCCCGGAAATACACAAAAGCATCGTGCTGCTGTCAAACCCCCCAATGGTTTCCAATGTGTGGCGGCCCTCCTCGCACCGATGATGTCTTGTCGGCGAAAGTGGCTCCCCCCTTCTGAAGGTGTGCAAAGAACACTGATATAAATTGTAATGTACAAAAAATACATCTAATAATGTACACACCTTGGCCAATGAACTGCTGGGATGAAGGTCCTCCCACGTCGCGTCGGTGATGGGAATTGGTTGACCGCATTGAACCATGCTGGTCAGTGTTGGATGGATGTAAGTGGGAGTCAATTCCAGGTTGCCAGGTTAAAAGTGCAGTGCGCAAACCAATGCACGCCCACTCCACTCCTGCCTGTATATGTAATGCATTCTCCACACACATATAATGTGCAGCTCTTTGTCAGTTGACAGCTGGATGTGATATTGTTGACGGAGGATGTTGGCTCAATTTCACTTTGCTGGTCAGCGTTGGTCGTGAAGTGGGAGAGGCCTGTGACCGGTTTCAGATGCCACTCGCCATTGATCTTAGCCAGGGCTGGTCATCAAACGCTGGTGGCCGGGTTCATAGCGCATTGCGTAGACCATTGTCCTGCTGTTCCCCCATTGGGCTCATGTACGTATGTTAATCTTCTTTCTCATCGTACGCAGCCAACCGCGCTAATCGGGAAGTGCGGGGGAGCGCCAACAAACTAAACACAAAAAAAGCAGTTCTAAAGAAATGAGCTTTAACAGTGCATAACCCCAGCGGCTTCCTAACATCGGAAGGAAGAGCGTTCCAGACGGTTTGCAGAAGCGCGTCTGAAAGTTCTCGATGCGGTGTCCACCGCCTCTGTTCAATGGCCAGCCAAAAGCCGACGCTGCGAGGATGACCGGAGTTAGCGTGATGATAGTTTACACTCCTTGACGAGATCACGAAGGTATTGTGGTTCATTTGTGGCAAGCACTTTGCGTGTATTGAGTACCACCGTATAACAACGTATGCATTTTGGCAACCGGAAGCAATGACCCAGCGCAAAGCCTGTCTGAATTCCCCCGTGCAACCGCACACATTTTTGAACAATAACCCAAACTGTAGGAGGTGGGGGGGTGAAAGACATTCTTATTTTTTGTTACCGAAAGCACATTTAACATTTGGAAACTGCAAAGCAAACATGCGCTCAAATACAACCACATTTTTACTATTTATATTCTTGGCTCTTTTGGTAAAGTCACGTAGATAGGTTCAAAGAAAATAACAAAAAATAACAAAAAACTACGACTTTTCCATCGCAACACAAGCGGTCGTCTTCAGGAAAAGGGGGTTAGCTTCCAAGGCAAACTGTTTATAAGGGGTTTGAAATGGGCGTAGCCCAAATGTCAGCAGCCAATGGTAATGTAAGTGGTGGGCAGCCAACCCGACTGTGGTTGGTTTTCCACCAATCAAAAGGCTGCCAGGTGAAAATTAGCATGGTAAATAGAGATTAGCATACTCTTTGATTCTTTCGGTAAATTCACGTAAGCCTACTTCAGCAGTAAAAACTGGTGAAGTAGGCCTATTTCAGCAGTTGTTCCTTGCTCTAGTTGTCCCACCTGATGACGATCGCTTGTGTTGCGATCTAAACATCGTGATTTATTTGATTTTATTTTTCTACCCACGTGACCTTACCGAAAGAACCAAAGAGTGTGGATTCCTGCAGTCACGAAAGCTTAAAATCGAGAGAGATTAGCATGTCAATGGGAGATCGCAGAGCCGTAACCAAGAGGTCGGCACGCGAAGTAGCCGGCACATCGACTTCGTGTGAGCAAGGTCTCCGTTCCCAGCGGTGTACCCTGAAGATGACCGCTTGTGTTACGATCGAAATGTCATCGTTTTTTGTGTGCACTTCCGCTGTTTGGCCCACAGTCAAAATTCAGAGCAACTGTTCGGGCGCCGTCCATAAATGACGTCACGCACCCAGGGGGGGGGGTGGGGGGGTCAGACATTTGTGACGATGTGTGACGAGGGCGGAGGGGGGGGGGTTTGAGAAATGTGACGTCACATCAACATGCGTAACTTTAAATATAGACAACGCGTTCTACTTAATTAAATAGATTGTTTAATAATTGTTTTCTCCAACATCAGAGTGCAGCGCCACATTAATTACGCAATGCAATGACAATAGTTTAAAGCGATTTGAAGCATTTTTTTTTGGGGGGGGGCAGAGCTTTGTGACGTTATATTTGAGGGGGGGGTCTGACTTTTTGTGACGCCGTGTGACGAGAGGGGGGGGGGTCAAAAAATGTCCAAAATCGCGTGACGTCATTTATGGACGGCCCCTTGGCGAATGCAGGGTCTTCGTGATTAACCCTGAGACACCCACAGGGCATAGCCCAGCTGTTCTCGACCTGTGATGGGGGTGGGACGGGGTCAGGGCGCAGGTCGCAGCATGGATACCGTGCCGGAGAAATGTTGAATGTGCATGGGGAATGTCAGTGCCACCTTGTGGCACCGAAACACTCGCACACAGCTGGAAACAAAGACCTTACGAACCCAAGAGACACTCATACACAACATAAAACAAGAGTCTTGCTAATAAAAATAAATCACAACGATACACAGCTGGAAACAGAGACCTTGCTCACACAAGACACAGCCATACACACCATGCAACATTTACCTTGATTTGAAGCATTCGTGACTGCAGGAATCCATACTCTTTGGTTCTTTCGGCAAAGTCACGTAGGTATAAAATAAAATTACTCACCACGTTTCGGGCGCAACACAAGCGTCCATCATCACGTCGTGATTTATTTTATTTTTATACCCACGTGACTTTACCGAAGAACCAAAGAGCAACAATTACCTTACTAAGTTGAACGTCTTTCGCACCGTACGTAGCCAACCGTGCTAATCGGAGCTGCGACTTCGCTGAGCGATCATTTGTGATAGCCAGGTCGCTTCTGACAAAGAGCTATGAAGCTCAGTGGGCCTTACCTGGAAAAAGTAAATCGTAGTTAATAGTTTAGCTTATAGATTCCATTCCACCTTCCGACACGGCATTTGCAGTGGAGGTAAATATTCTCATATCGCTCCACCACTGTCCGCCCAGCAGTAAAAATTGGTTGCGCGTGTGGTTGGATAATAATGTGTTGATGGGCCCACTTCTTCTTTAGACACGGCTGGTCAATCGTGGAAGAGTAGACCAAATACCCCCCCCCCCCCCCCCCCCTCCGAGAGTTCGCTCGAGCAGTGGCGTGAGCAAGAAATTTGCGGCGCTGCATCGCCACACAACGAGGTGGGAAAACTGAGACGAAGCAGAGTCGAATCGTCATCAAATGAAACTACTCGGGGCTGAGACTCGTTACGTCGCTAACTTCCAAAGCCGTTCTGCAGGCTGCAAGACTCTGATCTGAGAAGCGAATACCGGAGACTCAAGCTTGTCTACGCATCATCATCATCATAACACGCGCTCGCAACAGCGTTACATTTAGACCGATACGCCAAAGGGGTTGGAGAGGTTGCGCACAGCGTTGAGCCAGCGTGCTGCGCCCTGAAGCCAGCGAGCCGAGTTCGATTCCTGGCCAGTGCCGAGTGTATATACGAACCGGTCCTCGGTGCGTCCCTTCACCAAGCTGCACTGACCAGTGACCAGTGCAGCTTGCTCATGCACCCACCGCGACCAACGTGGAACGGCAGGGGCCTCTCCATTTGTACCAAGGGCACAGAGAGCGCGGCGGGGTGGTGCAGCGGTAACATTCGTGCCTTGCAGCAGGAAGCGCCTGGGTTTGAGTCCCGCCTAGGGTGGCTTGCGCCGTGGAGTTCGTCTGTTTCTAACCCCCTTTGTTCTGCACGGGTTTTCTCGGGGTTCTCCGGGTTCCTGTCGTGGATAAACACGTACGATGCCTCGGTCCAGGGCCCTCCCGGCAAATGCTGTCGAATCTTGATTTGAAGCTATCGTGACTGCAGGATTCCATACTCTTTGGTTCTTTCGGTAAAGTCACGTAGGTAGAAAACATTATAGATCACGACATTTCGATCGCAACGCAAGCAATCGTCAGGCCTGTTGACGATTGCTGAAAGAGCTAAAGAGTATAAATACTGCTAAGTTCACAGTATTGCTTTCCTGGGTTAATAAAAAATTGGTATTATTATATAACGATGCATTCAGTGTTATTATTGTGTTTTTTTTTACAGGAGCCAGGGTACAGAGTGTGAGCAACAACAAAACTCGGAAGGGGCGCAGAAATTCCGCCGGCTGACAACGCATTCAGTTGAGAAGCTTCGATTAAGTTTGTTCCTTACCCATTGCCCTCTGCCCATCCATTGGTCCTTCACCTGACCCATTGGCCCAAGAGCTTAGTGATGCCGTACGTCTCCCCCAGGGTTTAGCAATGCACGCGCAACTCCCCCCGGCTTTAAGTTGGGGCGTAGAATTAAGATACAATTTTTTTTTGCTCAAAGCAACATCTTTATATATTTTCATTTTCCACTTAATTGCAGGATGTGAGCCCGACTCACTGGGGAGACGTCGTGACGTTCGCGCATTAAACGGTGGCTGCCCGCGTACGGTATGCACGATCCGGCTTTATAAACCTTGTTACGTGTCTGAGTAATGACTCACACATGGACTGCAGGATGACTGGCCATTAAAATAAAAAAACAAGAACGAAGGGCAACGGTGGTTTCTTTGCCACAAGATAAAATTATAATCGTTGCCATGTGCGCAATCCCCCTCCCCTTTAATTGAAGTCTGGATATTGTGTTCTGTCGGCTGTCAAAATGCCACCCAAAACGGGGGCGGTGTGTGGATGGGGGGGGGGGGGGGGCGGGGGGGCGTGCGACTGTTTTGCCACGGTTTGGGTGAATGATCGTGGCAGCTCACGGCTAGAAGCTGTTCCGGCGAGCGTGGCAACCCCATCCCAGAAAAAAATGTGACGCAGTCCCCCCCCGAAATGCCGGCGTCTCGCAGCGCCGCGCAGAACTCACCGCTCGACGCCAAATCTTTAGGGCTCTCCGCGACGAATGTTTCTGTAGAATTTTCACTGAGAGTCAAGTAAAAATAAAAACCGCAGGATGATGAGACGGTTGACCAAAGGTTGCCCGCTGCAAAGTTAAATTTTTTGTTTCAAGGATTTCACAGCAATGCAGAGTTGTCGTAACTAACCCGCCGCTGACCGGTACGGTGAAGTATGGTCAAACGACAACACAGATGACCGCTGCGGTCATCATGGCATGGGGTGGCCTCATGCAGCAGCGGACTGACAAAAAACGCCTTACAGAATTATGATGAAAATAAATGATTTAAAAATGTAATTTCTTCAGACTGTGAGACTCATGCGTCTGCTGCGTGACAATACTTCACCACGCCGGTCAGTGCAGGTTTATGTAACAGTTGACACTTTAGTAAAAACAAAAAAAAACGACATTTGCAGACATCATCGACCAATACCACACTTTCAACCAAAGTGCAATAGTTCAGGTTTGAGCCCATCACACGGCACACCCCTAACCGCAAGAGATTGCCTCTCTGCAAACGGGACACGTGATGTTACTTTCCCCGTCCCACGACCTCAAGCAGCGTGCTCATCACCCCTGCCGCCCTGCACCTTTGCTCCCTGCGACAAGGGATGTCTTCGTCAGACCGTGACGACAGACACGTCTCGCCGTAGGGTGACGGCTGTGTGGATGTCTGGACGTGGGGAGCGCTGTCC